TATAATCCAGTCGGGATTTCGGGCTGGGATTCGCCTGCATCTCTTACACGGGCCGCTGACCCCAGACGCTGACATGGCCTGCTGCACGGGGGGGGGGGGGGACTACCCTAACGGAGGCACCGGTCACAGGGAGAGCACGGGGGCGAGAGGATAATGAGCAAAGGCAGCCAGCCGTGGGGGGGGAGCCGCACACCCACACGCGTGAGTGCTTCGCTCACACGGTCACACGCACGTGCCTGCTCACTCGTGAAAACGTGCCTGTCGGTGCACGGTCGCCGGCATTTGTATAAACACATCAATGTAACTCCGCCGTGCACAGATGCACGAGCGATCACACGTGTGCGCATGTAATAGCACAAGGCTAAATGCACACGCATGCATGTATACCCTTGTGCGTGTGCATGTTCAGGCGTGTACACTGGCATGTGAGGACACTTGAACATAATCTCCTACTCTCTCAAACACAATAGGAGTGGATGCGAGTGAATAATAGATGCTCAAAAGGTGAAGATTTAGTTCACGCGTTACTGTAATATTAACGCTAAAGTACTGGTGCTGAGTTTTAAAAATCTCTGTTTTTCTTAATGCATGAAATTACTTGGCTCCAGGCCATTATTTAAGAGGCTGAAACCGGCATAGCCGTCCCCCCCCCCGTCCCCCCCCACCCCATCCTGTGAAGCTGAGAATCGTCCTGACATTTAATGCCTCCCCTGCGGTGACCATGCGCACCTCGACGCAGAAGCGACGCCGAATGACGAACAGTCAGAATGTCTCCTTGGGTCTTCAGCGCATCTGTAATAGAGGGAAGCAAAAACACAGGAGCGCGCAGAAATGCGCAGAAATGCGCAGAAGTGTGGCAGCGTGCGGCTGCTTTTTCCCAGGTACTGCATCCCCTGCATTATGTCCTGTTTAAAAATCTATTACTTGACTCACTGAGCAGCGTGTCAGTGCCTGAGTGCCGGTAAAGGAGACCCACACGCGCATTCTGAGCCGTAATGAAGGGGGGCTTAGACCAGAAGCAGAGTGCGGTGACTTTTCATTACCGGGCCGTACGGGGGGGGGGGGGGATAGAATGACAGGCAGACGGAGGAGCAGCAGAGAGCCGTCCCGAGAGATGCGGGGTGAGAGAGATTAAAGGAGGGACATAGGAGGAAGGAGGGGGCAAACAAAAGGAGAGTGTGAGGGAGGAGGCTGAGAGGGAGGGAGATTAGCTGCCACAGAGAGAGATGGAGGCTGGTGACTCTGGGTGGACTCCCTAACCCATATATTACCCTGCCTGCATCCCCATCCCGCCGTGGATGGTGTGGCCTCCCCCAGCAGTAAGCTCTCTCGCCCGGACTCCTCCACCCACTGAACTCCACCCGGCATGCTAATGACCCCCCCCCCCTGCGTCCTGCAGTCCCTGTGCCATTGTTCTCCTGTAATTGGAGCCCGGAGGCTCAACCGTCACTCAGTAGCTATTTCTGACGACCGAGTGGGAGGAGCTGGTCGAGTCCCTGGGGGACGGTGGTGCTGAAGAAGCCCCCCCCCACCGTATGTCCGCTGGCGTGGGAGGGAGGTGGGCAGCCCCAGCGATACGAACCTCCCCGTCTCGCTACATGGGCAGCTGCATCCACGTTTCGCCCATTCATCTGAATGTACTTAATTTGCCGCAAGAAGGCAGGAAGTTAATCGCCCTGGTTGGATTAGTTTTGATAAAAACTATTTAAATGGCTAGAGTATTTAGCAAAAATATAAAAAAAAATAGAACTGTGTGATCAGCATCAGTGAGTCATGATGACCACTTTTCATTTGTTTTATTGTGGCAGAAAAAATAACCTATAAACGTCGAGAAGGGCGAGTGCGGAACGGCACTGAGGACATCGAGAGAACGATGAGTTTGTTCAAATAAGAGTCACTGAATAAAACAGAAAGTAATTAACGATAAACACTGTGGTGGGATCTATAGGCTGATGGGAATCTTTGTTCTGTCATGGATGATGGTGAAGCTGTTTTTTCTTTATCTACATCGAATTCACTCGCACAGCAAAATCATGAAAATGAAAGAGTTATAATAAATTATTTAATTCCATTAAATAGCTTTGAGAACATTCCAGATCGCATGTGGAAATAGATTAATTCTAGCATTTAGGTGGACGGCTGATTTTAATCACAGATTTGAAAGTCGGTTCCGATCCCAAACGGTGGCTCCGACCCTCTCTGTTAACAATGTTTCGTTCTATGAACGTTTACTGAACATTATGATTAATTAAGGTATAAAAATGTTCAGAGTGTCCAGTTTTTCTGACATTCCCAGAACATTACAGAACATTATCCCACAACTAGAACCAAGACTAATAACATGAGAGCAAACGAAGGATATGGCAGAACGGAGGACACTGGTGCTTTACACCTCAAAGGTCACGGGTTCAAGGCTTGACAGTGTGTTCACAGTATATACATATAGCCCTTTTACAGAATGATATTCTATCAGAAATATTATTCTACGTTAACGGTATTAAGCGGATGTTCAGGTAATAAAGCGATCATTCTGACAGTGACGGAACCTAAAACGTGGAAATTAACATTATGCTAAGAACGTTCTCTGCCAACTTTGAGATGTTCACATAGCGTTCCATGTCAGCTGGGCTGCGTTTGACTCAGTGTTTCAGGCACAACAGGAGGGCCAGAGCCACCTGATTTTCTGGTATGTGGAGACGGTGACGCAGGCGAGAAGCGTCCATACGGGGAAAACTCCGCGCCAGTTTGGAGCGCGCTGGGTAGCTGGGCCGAGGACGGATCTCTGGGGTGTCTTCATCGTTTCAGTCACTGTGCATCTCAGCCGTTTTAAATTGCGCAAAACCATGGAAACTGGAATTTTACAGGAGTTGGGGTTAGTTTCTCTGCTGGAGTTTTGCATATGCATGTGAGTACAGGGGGTGGGGGGGGGGTGATGTGTTTTTCCCACCTTGGGTGGTCCCTTCGCCATGCTTCATCCCAGTACTCAGGAATAATCAGCCCTCTCTGTGTCGGCTCCGAGTCGGGAGCTGGGTGTGGGGGGTGAAGAATCCCCATTTCCAGGTTTTTCTTAATTGAAACAGCCACACAATGTGTTGTTCTTTGCAGTCCCCCTGGTTTTGGTAATGTTCAGTTTAATGTTAGTAATATATCTATCAGACGAAAAAAAACATCCCTGTTTAAACCTCTGTTCCCCTCATTCTGGAATATTACAGCCCTCCTTCCTGGTACTAATGACATTCATCCATTTCCCACAGATGTGGCTTTATTCATCCACTGGATCCGCAGTCTCACAGTATTCCTTAATCTTCCGTAGTAATTTAAGAATAAATAAACCAAACGGCCATGTTTGTCCCTCGCCGTATCTCTCCCAGGCCTCTTCTCTTTCACATTTTTTTAGATGTATGCTCTGCCCTGCCAGTACACTGGGCCCTGCTCTGCCCTGCCAGCACACTGGGCCCTGCTCTGCCCTGCCAGTACACTGGGCCCTGCTCTGCCCTGCCAGTACACTGGGCCCTGCTCTGCCAGCTTACTGGGCTCTGCTCTGCCAGCACACTGGGCCCTGCTCTGCCCTGCCAGCACACTGGGCCCTGCTCTGCCCTGCCAGCACACTGGGCCCTGCTCTGCCCTACAGTACACTGGGCCCTGCTCTGCTCTGCCAGTACACTGGGCCCTGCTCTGCCCTGCCAGCACACTGGGCCCTGCTCTGCTCTGCCAGTACACTGGGCCCTGCTCTGCTCTGCCAGTACACTGGGCCCTGCTCTGCTCTGCTCTGCCAGCTTACTGGGCTCTGCCCTGCCAGCACACTGGGCTCTGCTCTGCTCTGCCAGCACACTGGGCCCTGCTCTGCTCTGCCAGTACACTGGGCCCTGCTCTGCTCTGCCAGCTTACTGGGCTCTGCACTGCTCTGCCAGCACACTGGGCTCTGCTCTGCCCTGCCAGCACACTGGGCTCTGCTCTGCCCTGCCAGCTTACTGGGCTCTGCACTGCTCTGCCAGCACACTGGGCCCTGCTCTGCTCTGCCAGCTTACTGGGCTCTGCTCTGCCAGCACACTGGGCTCTGCTCTGCCAGCACACTGGGCTCTGCTCTGCTCTGCCAGCACACTGGGCTCTGCACTGCTCTGCCAGCACACTGGGCTCTGCTCTGCTCTGCCAGCACACTGGGCTCTGCTCTGCTCTGCCAGCACACTGGGCTCTGCACTGCTCTGCCAGCACACTGGGCTCTGCTCTGCTCTGCCAGCACACTGGGCTCTGCTCTGCTCTGCCAGCACACTGGGCCCTGCACTGCTCTGCCAGCTTACTGGGCTCTGCTCTGCCCTGCCAGCTTACTGGGCTCTGCTCTGCTCTGCCAGTACACTGGGCCCTGCTCTGCTCTGCCAGTACACTGGGCCCTGCTCTGCTCTGCCAGCTTACTGGGCTCTGCACTGCTCTGCCAGCACACTGGGCCCTGCTCTGCTCTGCCAGCTTACTGGGCTCTGCTCTGCCCTGCCAGCTTACTGGGCTCTGCTCTGCCCTGCCAGAACACTGGGCTCTGCTTCTTGCACTACAAAGAGACACTTTTCTCCTGATATTTTCTTAATTGATCCATTGCACCAGCCCCATGCCCAACTGTTTGCTCATACTTAATAATTCATTTAGTGCTTGAGTCTTGTTTCACCAGTGTGTGTATCCATTACTTAAATACTCGCTGTATCTGTACAGTGACACTGTCTCCTTCGGTAAATAAAAAAATGCCCCTTTCTTCCTCTCCTGGAGAGTTAATGTTCTAAGCGTAGTGCTGCATTCCAAATTTAGGAGATACTCTCAGTCACAGGGACGTTTACAGCAGGTTTAAACGGGAAATCACCGGGCACTTTAAATAATGAATGTGATTAGCCGTTACATCAGCGGGCTGCCCTGTCACCGATGCCCTCTACCTCGCAGCTCAAAGGTACCTTCCTGAGATGCTGCATGTATTAGGCTGGATCACTAATCTTCCTCCCTGTTCTTGCTCCTCCCTTCAGGCCTTCTGCAGGAGAGTTTTGTGGAGGAGCCCGAGGGCCTGGTTTCCATCAACCTGCTGGTCATCTCTGCAGTGTCCGCGTTCGCCATCGGGGCGGCGCTGTCGGGCCTAGTGGTGTGCTGGATCATGAGCCATAAGCGGAGGCACCGCGCTCGAGGTGGAGCGGCCGGCTCTGGGGGCCGTCGCAAAGGAGACAAGGAGCAGGGCATGCTGGGACAGGGCGGCAGCGGCTCTGTGATGAGCGTGACGCGGACCGGGGCAGCTGAGAGGCCCGGTGCGCAGGCCGAGACTTTGTTCGTGATGCCCAACGGCTGGACCCAAGCCGGGGACATGGATCCTGGCCTGCTGCCTACGCCGGAGCAGACCCCCCTGCAGCAGAAACGCCCCACGCCGAGCCTGCGGCACTCTGATTCGGGGTGGGAGCAGAGCCAGACTTTCCTCAACGCAGCCGGCACCCCCTGCCCGCCCGGCTCCTCCGTGATCTACCTGAGTACCAAGATGCTGCAAGGTGGCGGGGGCAGACATGAAGACCCAGGGGAGCCCCCCCAGGTTGCCGAGCGCCAGCATTACCTCTCGCTGGCTGCACATCGCGAGCAGGTGGGCCGCACCGGTGCTCCCCTGCGCAATTCCGCGGGTGAGTACTACCCGGCCACCCCCCAGGACTCCCCCGACCGCCGGAGGGTGGTCTCAGCCCCAAACACTCAAATGGACTTTGGGGAATCCCTGCGCTGGGCCCCGGAAGGCCTCAACTATAATAGCAACAACGGGACACCCTCATCCAGCCACCCGCCCCCGGGCCCCCGCCTCCCCTCTGGCCTGGTGCGCTCCAGCCTCCACACCCAGCGGGGGCTCAGCGACCTGGCCGACTTCAACCACCTCCTGGGCAAGAGCGTGAGGGAGCGGACACCCACGGGCCAATGAGGGGTGGGCTCCATCCAGAGTGCCAGAAAACCCCCCCCTGACTGCCATCTCCCCTAGCAACCGGAAGTCTCCCCAGACTCCCCTCCCCCTCCCACACCCCCACCATGTTCTGTTCCCCCTCGCTGTCATTCAACATTGTGACACGTATTGGTGACTGACCCTCTGCAACCGTGATTCTTGGGTCTGTGAGGTTCTGGGGCGGGGTTGGGGGGGGGGGTTCACAGCTAGCGCCCGACACGCCACAGGATGGGGGAAGGAGAGGCAGGAGGGAGGTGCAATCCGTGAAGAATCTGAGAACTGCGTCTGTGACGATTTAGCACCCTGCTCCAGTCGTGAAAGCTCTCACCGACGACAGAACTTTTTTCAGGATGTGAAGCCCTCTTCTGGGCGGCTGCTGTGCCAGCCGGCGCCCGCCCACCTCCCAGACGGGTATGAGACACGCCAGAGGATGTTTCTTTCCGCTGGCTTACGGACGGGAAACGCCAGCAAGCGCATGATGGCCTGTCAACGCTGGAGAACACTGAGGTTTCTCAAAGGAAAAAAAAAAACATGCCGTTATTGGTTCAGCGCAATATTCCGTTATGGAGGCAGCCTCTGGGAAGTCGCCACACTCATTACTGTGTCTTATAAGCTTTTCTGCAAATGGCACTGACTGCCAGCAGGGGGCAGAGCGGCGGCAGTCAACCCAGACAGTATGAGGACTGAGGGGCAGGTTGGGTGGTGGGAAGGAGAGTTGGGGTATGGGATGGGGGGTTATATCTGAGTGGGTTGGGCATGGGGGTGGAAGATCTCACACAGGACCTGCCCCCCCCCCGAGACTAATCACTGAACTCCGAGATTGCTCTGACATAAGGGGTTCAAATTGGAGGGGGGGCAGCCCCCCCCCCCTGCTCCATGCCATGTAAGAAATAGAGCCTCCTCCCATCCCAGTGGGGGCTTTTCCTGGCGTGGGGGGCCTTGTCCTAGGGGGGTGGCCACACTGTTACTTGAGGCACATTCTCTGACACTGTGATTGGCAGCCCGGTCCTGGGTTCAGCTCAGCCATAGTGTAGGCGATCTCCTCCACACATCCCTGCACCCCCCCACACTGGAAATGCTGTTAACTGGTTGGTGTGATTCACAGTTGGGGGGTGGGTCTTCAGCATCGCCATCCTAGTAGCCAGAGAGTAGCTGCTGTGTGTGTGTGTGGGGGGGGGGCACTGCTGTAGATAGGGTGGCTGGGCTGTTTTAGTAGATAATGACTGGGTCACCCCCATTTTGGATGGCAGTAAAACAAACATTAACATTACGGGAGCCTCTTAAGAAACGGGGGAGCAGAGGCAAATGGGGGGGCTGGATATCACCAGCAGAGCAGCAGAATGAAGAAGTCTGGTGGGAGTTTTGTTTGTCTTAATGTAATGGGCTGAACCACTGAGGGAGAGTGACAAAGGAGGAGATTAATGAGGTGCAAATGTGTAATCTGCAGAATGTACCCTAATGAGTGGCTGTGCATGGCCCCTCGCATCGGTGTGGGACAGCTTTCTGGGTGGGGTCACACAGTTACATGGCATCAGCACACTGCACACTTTGCACGTTCCAGACCAGTTATCTACAACCCCCCCCCCCCCCCCAAATACACATTGGTTCGATCCGGGAGCACCCTGCCCTCTCCATTGGCCATCTCTTCTGTGCTGTGTAAATTAGCGCTCTCCTGCTTGCTTGCCTGCCAGCTGCTGGCAGCCTCCACTGCACCACTGCGCCCAGTGCGCTCCAGCGGGCAGGGAGGTTCCTGGGCCACCAGTGGGAGGATGGGGGCCCAGTGAAGGACATGGGGTGGGACGCTTATCCACGTCCGTGGTCCCCTGGACAGAATCGCAGCTGTACCTGCATGGATTACAGGTAGCAGCGGGGAATGTGGGGGGGGGGGGGGGGGCACGGCCTGGAACAATGGTAGTGAGGCGGAGCTCCGGACAGAATTGTCAGTACGGTCCCCAGCATCTCGCTCATGGCCTTTTTGCATTTACAATCACTTTTATTGAACAGAAAGTTCTCTGTGCCACATGTTAGTGCCAAACTGCCCAATTTATACAGGATACAACCTAGGGGTGCCAATCCACATGGCGTGACTGTGCAGGGACGCCCCAGACATTGCTGTGAAGTGCTGTGAACTGCATCCTTTCTGTGACGTACGAAACATCTCTGTGTGCACTGCTGTGATCCTCCAATGTGCTCAGTTCTTTCACAGCTTTTTCATAATTTCTTCTTTTTTTCTTTTTAGCGGTTAAAAAAAAAATGGCATCCATTTCATTGCCCCCTTCCAAATTCCGCCCACAAATTAGATGCTATTTTTATGAATACCGTGTACAGAGTGATAGAGAGAATGACATTGTGTGTTGACTTTTATTTCTGTAGCGTAGAGATTTTATGTCCCCAGCCAGAAACTGCCACCGTGAAATACAAAGGAGAACACTCAAACCAAAAAAAAGGAGAGAAATAATATATATATAATTTAAAGTCAGATTGTACTGCGGACCCATTTCATCTACTACTGTATAAAACACAAAAAAATAAGCACAATGTTTTTTTGCATTTTGTAAAGTTGTAGAGAAAATATATTAGCCACCATCGGTTATTCTTGTCACATTTTCCGTTGGTTTGTTTTGATGGTGATAGATGTTTCGGTTTGTGTTTAAAGTATCTGATTTCTTTTGCTCTTTGACGTGTGCGTTTCATTGGCCAACAGGATGCCAGTATTAACTTAGCCCTTCGGGTAAAGGCAGTGTCAAGACTGTTTGTTTTTTTTTGTTGTTGTTGTTGTTACTGGAAGGGGGCGGGGCCAAATGGAGAGCTTGAGCAGAGCGCAGCCTCTGCCTGCCGTGACAGACCGCCGCTTCTTCCCACTCAGGAGGAACTTGCCCCAATGGCGAAAAAGGGCCACGTGGTCATGTGACTACACGCACGCTCGCCCCCACCTGTACATAATGTACACAATGCCTAATGTGTGAAAAGGCAGCATGACCCGGTTTCCCTGTGTACCAAAAACCGTCTGTGACTTCGTGCCTGCGAGCAAGTTAGTGTGCCCGACAGCCTACCGACAGGCAGATGCGTGAGCGCGCAAGATCGCGCGGCACCGACACGTACGGCGAGCACGAGCAGAAGGGGAGTACCAAGCGGGTGCACACTTTATAACAGTGAACACTGTTTTCTTCCTGTCCGTAGACCTGTGCCAGTCTGTCACTCAGCATGGAGACCCCGCTCTCTGTCACTTTTCTTATTCTAATAAACCATCCAAACACTGAGTCTTTTTCCATTGTGGTCACGCGTTTGTTTGGCCGCATTCTTGACGGACCAGCCGTTACATGTTTGCCAGTAAACCCGAAGTATCACATTCTGCGAATGACAAAAGGAGATTGCGTGGTGTCAGATATCCCGCCGTGCGCCATCTGAAAAGGTGTGTCTTTTACCACACTTGAAATTACAATATGTAGCCAATAGGTGGCACTGTGGTCACAAAGATGACAATAAATTTACTTGCGTCTCTAAGATCGTAATTCCCAATGTCATCAGCTAAAATTAATAAATGAAAGAAAACTTTGATCACGGCATTAGAAATAAATCCACTTCTCAGCTGTTTAAAGGACCTCAAAAGGCAGTGTAAATGTTGCCGATTCTTGAGGGTATATTTTTTGTACAAGTATCATTTTCAGGCAGGATGAAGTATTATAATTGCGTGTGCGAGCCTTCCAGCGTCAGCTCGAAGCAAACGAGGGTTTGTGAACAGGGCCTCTCGGGATACACTCTGCCTTCTCCGATACTCTTTCTTTTTTCTTCCACCTTCCCACATCTGCACACAATTGCGATGCCACTATAGGAATTGATTTGCTTTGCCCGCTGCGCCGCACCGCTGTAGTTTCCCGAATCCTGCAGCAACCACTTAACAGCTGACAGACACCTGGAGGGAAATGATTCAGGCTGCAAACGCCTCGTGCAAGAAAATCACGTAATGACGCCATACACTACGTTTGTTTTCTTAGCTTATTCTGTTCCATACAACATTCTTTCCATTATGCTACCGTTCACTGTTCACGGTGCCTTTCATGGAGAACAATGATGGTCTGCTTCCTGAAGAGGCTGAATCTCTCATTTGGCTGCATTAAGAAAAAACCCTATGATTAGCATTATACTGTAGATGTATGATTCCTACGTTTTGTCCCCATATCCATTACATTATCCAATGGCACATGTTAATTTGCGTTGTGTTATTTCGGCTGTGTCCCGGGGAAGACGTCATTATACACATTTTTTTTTAAGTTTTGCTGATTACGCAAAAGAATCGTATACAGTATCTGGAAACTTGTCGACAAACACACACATATTAGTGTTGGCCCAAACATATTATTAAGATTAAATTAAAGATTCTTATATATGCATTAAACACTTTTTCATATATTTTTTTTACACAATAACAAAAAAAAAATGGTTAAAGGTTATCAAAACTAAATACCTCACCACCCAGATCATTATCTTACTAATACTAAGTAGTAAATGTTGAGGAGCCCAGAAGACGAAGATCTGAGATCCCAAGGAGGTGGAGGGGCAGGAGAAGATCAGGCAGATACGAGGCAGCAAGGTTGTTGTGAGTATAATAAGTAAAGAGGAGAAGCACTGACAAAATTTTGACGCAAAAATGATATTGCTGTTACTCACACATGAAAATTACACCGACCTTTGAACAAATCTAGTGCCCAGTTAGCGGCACATGCTACTAATGTAACACTATAAATAAGCTGATAAAACAGATTATAAGGTATATATAAATATACATAAACATTTACAGCAGCAGCCTGTTACGGCTGGTCCAGCAGAGTTCTGTCTGTATTCTGTTTCTGGTAAGAATGTACAACTGAGCTGTTACTGACAAAACAGGTGACTGTTAGTATGCGAGCAAGAAATGGCGTCTGAGTTCCGCAACTGTCTTTGCTAGAAGATTCTGATTCTGACTCTTCAGGTTTTGGATTTCCTGCCGAGGGCACAGTCCCTCAACGTGGCCATGGTCCACACGACTGCGAGACTTTTCTCCTCGGGTGTGGAGTGTCGAGTCTTGCAGCGGAAGGCCAAACAGCATGACATCATTCTCCTTTTGGTTCCCTGCGTTGGGCCAGCTAATTGTCTGAGCATTTTGGGCGATGACTAAAGACAAGTACACTCTCGGAGAAATTAGTGCTCTGTTGCAGTCATTACTTTATGTTTAGCTTGTTGGCCCAAAAAAGTTTGTTACCCATTCCTGGCAAGAGGGCCACTTTAAATACAGCACCATGCCACCCTAATAATATAATTAACGAGCAGCAACCAAGGCCTGAATGCAGGGAAACCCTTCGCTCGGCCATTTTCACAGTCAAACACCCACACAGTGTTTCATCTTCGAGGCAGACTTGATGATGGAGTTTGCGTTAATGTCACCCTCAGATCATCCATGTGTAATATTCTCCAGCAGAATTCCAATTCTTCATTAATGACCTGTGGACTCTGTTGTGACTTCTTTTTAGCTTCCAGCAGATATGCATTTTCCACACGACATCTGTCCAATATCAAGAAAGAATATTACATATAGGCCTATGTGCTGATTTTTATTTAATGAATATGTGGAATTGTCGATGTTGTGAAGCACTCCTTGCATACTGAATTGCCATTTAAGAGTAAGTAAATAGTGTAGCAGAGTATATAAACAAAGCATATAAAATAAATAACAGAAAAAAATGCTGAATTTACTGCGCGGAGTTATGAGAAGTTACTTGTTGCTTCCAAGCTTTCCACTTCATGGGTAAATGAAGCCCCCTCCCATTTAATGGTGCTTACCCAGCCTAATCGCATTCCCTGAGACCACAAACCACCAAGATTGTTTCCCATCCTTAAAACCATAACACCATCCTAATTGATTTTACCGTATCACTTATGGGCCAGAAGCCTGTTTCTGCAGCACGTCTGGTGCTCCCTAGAGCCCGAATCACATTGCAGCAAAGCCCACCAGTCCCCAGGTCATCCTGACCGACATCTCCAATTGGTACAATCAGCTTTCATAAGACAGGATTGAAAAATGCTGGCATGTATTTTCATAACGCTGTATGTCAGTACAGTAAATAATAGAATCTTCTCATTTTTTAACACAGTTTGAGGTCTGTGTCCAAGTCCTCAGAGGTAACACTTAAGACATCCACCAGAGACCACGCGCTACCAAACGATTACTGCCCCAGCGCCAGGTTTGAGAAGATGAGAAATGCAGTCACACAACTGCAACACAACAATGGGTATCAGCCATTACCCCAGTATCTCCTGTTTCATCCATCTCTCGTGTTTCCAGTATCGCCGCCAGTGAGAGCGCTGGCTCTTCCCTGGCTCCCGTCGTTTCTGAGGGCTGCACTGCATGCTTGCCTAGCTGCCGTCGCCTTTCATCATTATGTCAGCAGCAGACCAAGCCAGGCAACGCGCGGCTTTAAGGAAAATCCTCCCAAGGGACATGAGCACTTGGACCAAAAGGCCTGGATTGGCAACTGCTCAGCAGTCTAAGTTAAGCGCAGAGATGTGGTGATACTGACTGACTGCTCTTTTGCAGAATTTCTTCCTTCCCAAAAAAAAAAAACATCAAAAGACCAAGGAGACTATACTAACAGCCAAATGCACTTTTCAAATTAATTGTACGTATAATTTAACGTATTCGCAGGCTCCTGTCAATTGTCACCCACCCCTCCCCCCCCGAATCTGCCCAGGTGTCTGTGCCCCATGTGGCGCCCCCGTGTGGCGGTGTGCTGGTACTGCTGCGACTCAGTGAGCGTCCTGTGAACAGTCCACATGTTCTCCCCAAGCTTGGGCAGCCTTCCTCCTCACATTTAGCTGAACAGGTTTCTCTAGTTTGCCCACAGATTGTGTGCTTGTGCCCAGTGATGGACTGGCATCCAGTCCAGAGTGTTTCAGTGCTGTCTGGGATAAGCTCCAGGCTCTCCTCCCCACACGCCTGCATGGGATAAGTGGATGGAAGATGGATGGATGGATGGATGGATGGATGGATGACTTGATTTATCTTTATCTTGTCTGTTGCTTCATGCACAGACATATTTATTGCTGGAGAATAGATACCAATGAACAAACATGCTTTGGCCATTTCTGTGGCGTGTCTTATGCCACCTTGCCCAGTGGTTTATATCTAACCAGTAACTCCCATGGCACTGGAATATATGTAGGAAAGAGAGGGAGAGGTCGACAGTGGTCAAACATTCACAGCAGAGTGCTTGAGGTGTCCGGATTTTACTGTCCATGTTTTTTGAATCAAGATTTCATTACGAAAAAGGTCAGAAACTAAAGCCGTCAAATACAATCAAGCTTAGGAAACAAGAGGGGAAAGTCTGAGTAACCAAACTGGACAGCGAACCTCTGTATGATCTCATCGCTTCATCGGTTACACATTTCATGACTTACATTGTGTCACTGCCTTCCGTAATTACTGCAGGGAAATTCTGCATGTGTCTCTAGGCAGTGAATATAAATTGGAAAAAAAAAATTGCGTGTAACAGTCACGGAGCATTATGGGCCAAACAGCAGGGAGATGACAGCGTACACGCTCTCGCTCAGGTGCAGGTCGCAGCGTCGCTCCAGCAGCCGCGCATTAGTACCCGGACGTCTGCGGCCGTTACGAAACCCCACACCCTCCAACCGCCAGCTTCCATGTATTTATGAAGCCATTTATAAATATTATGATCAGTTAAATCATGAGGTGAAGTTATGGAAAGTATGGCAGCAACCTGAAGGGTATATAGAGGAGACGTCTTTGGTGACTTCCTGTCTTTATGGCCCAACATTTTAATGAAAGGCATCATCTTTCCATGGTCCTGCTTTTTAATATTGAAAAATGTACTAATAAAGATTCACTTTCTTGGGGATTTTGGGACAGTATTTTACGTCATTTTAAATTATAAAGCACTGTGTAGCTTTAGGTCAATTTCATTTTAATTCTGTTTTGTGCTCGATTAATTTATATTATCCCATGTGCAGATATAGCATGATACAGCAGGCACTTGATATATTGTTATGTATGGAATAAGCTTGTTGTTATAGAATATCTTCCAGCGTGGCTTTTCCGAAATGCTCCTGACCTGGGGGGTGGGGTTACCTCAGTGCACCAAGCACACCGTTCTAGCAGAAGTTGCTGCAGAGCCCCCACCTACATGGTATGTACGGCCTTTGTGAGTGCGAGATATGTTGTGTTTGGCAAGATCAGGGCTAAATTTAGGGGAGGTGGTGCTGTAAC